TCCCTTTCCATTGATGTTACTGTGCCAGCCATTCCAACCCTGGTCTAATGTTTGTTGCTGGACTCCCCTGAACCGAGATCTCGGGCCCCAGAAAACCTCAGTGGAGTAAGTTCAGCTACAAGAGGGGAAGAGGAGTGTTCTGGGCAGGTGGGTCTCCTCCGTTGGGAGTGGTGAAAGGGTGTACAAAAACCATGTTCCCCGTCTCTACTAAAAAATACAAAAAAAAATAGCCAGGTGAGGTGGCGGGCACCTGTCGTCCCAGCTACTCGGGAGGCTGAGGCAGGAGAATGGCGTGAACCCGGGAGGCGGAGCTTGCGGTGAGCTGAGATCCGGCCACTGCACTCCAGCCTTGGCGACAGAGCAAGACTCCGTCTCAAAAAAAAAAAGGGGAAAAAAAAAACCATGTCCAAGTAGGATGCAAATAGACTCACCAAAAGATGTAAACAACCTCAATGCTCATTAGGGGACAGGCTGCATAAATAGAAATCATTTGTTCAATGGAATACAACATAGCCATAAAGAAAGCCCAGCTCATTACATATTAGTGTGGAACAACCTCCATTCTATTAAACACGTGCAGACCAGAATGTATAGAATACTTCACTTAAAAAAAAAAAAAAACCCATCTTTATCCACAGCATTATCTCCCCAAAACACTGAAAGAGGGAAAGTGACTGGCTGCTTTAGGGGCAGAGGGAGGATAGGGAGGGAAGTGGGAGAAGACTACACCCTTTTGTATATTTTGAATTTTTAACCATGTGATTGGAATATCTCTTCATAAAAATCACACCTTAGGAAAGAAAAGAAATCATGCTTACCAAACAGGGAAAGAGATGAATGGCTTACAAGCCTCCCTGTAGTTCTATAAAGCACCTATGAGGTCGGCCTGGGGAAACCTGCCCTGCTCCCACTACTTCTCCGTTCCTCTGTGGTCATAGTCTGTGACCTGAGCCTTTGTGAGAAACAGACCTTGTCAGGTTTCACAGTAGGAGAAGGGCAGTTCTCTTTGCTAGAGGTGACTTAATTAAGCCATTTTCCTGCCAAGCTGGGACTGAATTATGATCTTCCCAATCTATTTGTAAAGTACTCATCTTTGACATAAATCTGTCATGCGTTGACATGTTTCACAGTGCTGGGTAACCAGGAGGCACCCGTCTAAGTTGGGTGGTTAGCAGGGTACACTGGAATGTGCTGGAAGCCACACTGTGCACTGAGGGCTGAAAGAGCTCATACTCCCCTGTCCCCATCCCAACCCCAAAGGGAATGAAAGAGTCATTAGAGTGATTCAAAGACAGCTTGGAGGCCAGACAGCTTGGAGGCCTGTAATCCAGCACTGGGAGGCTGAGGTGTACAGATCATTTGAGCTCAGGAATTTGAGATTAGCCTGGGCAACATGGCAAAACCCCCTCTCCACCAAAAATACCAAAAATCAGTTGAATGTGGTGGCGTGCACCTGTGGTCCCAGCTACTTGGGAGGCTGAGGCAAGAGGATCACTTGAACCTGGAGGCAGAGGCTGCAGCGAGCCAAGAAGGCACCACAGCACTCTAGCCTGGTTGACAGAGTGAGACCCCATCTCAAAAAACCTTCCCCAAAACAAAAGACAAAAACATAGACAGCTTGGAGAACACTGGGTGGGGTGTGGATGTAGGTCATTCCGGACTCCCAAGACTTCTCATAATTGAGAACTGATCCAATCCTGGAAAATTCCAACGTGTTGTCTCACTGACAAGAGCACCTGTCACCTGCCCAGTCATGACCACACTGTACCTCTCACAGCAATGCCTGGCCTGGCCAAGCCTGATATGCCTGAAGTGCCACTCTGCCTCTGCTCTCATAGTCCCCACTGCATAGAAAGACCTTTGGGGGCAGCATGGGGCATGTCATCATAATCTATATCAAACTCACACCTATATTTTTGCCTCTCCTGCGTTATGAGACCAGAACTTTCCCTATGACCTTGAAGGGCTCCTAAGCTACCTCCTCCAACCCCTGTCCTCTAACACACCCAGTCTATCGCATCCCTTCTCTGGACCCAGGAGCTCTGTTGCTGGGCCAGTGTGTTTGCACATTCTCCTGTCTTCCCTAAGAACATCCCTTATTCTCACTCCTCTTGTGTAAACCTCAGCCTTAAAAGCCAGATTCAAGTTTATCCTCTGCCACAATGCCCTACTTTGAATCATTCTGATTTCCTACTTTATTTGTTCTCAATTTACAAAGATGTCTCCCCAAATAGTTGTTAGTTGACTTCCTTGGGCTTGAGATCCTCGATCATGTGACCCATTCACCAGGGCTCTAAAATCTCAGGCAATCCTCCCCAATCTAAGTGGAGACTTGCTATTTAGAATAGAACATAGGAATCCAGTAGGTATGAGATGAAGAACTACAAGCAAAACCTCCTCAACAAGGTTAGGACCGGGCACGGTGCTCACATCCCAAATCCCAGCACTTTGGGAGGCTGAGGCGGGCAGATCACCTAAGGTCAGGAGTTTGAGACCAGCCTGGCCAACATGAGAGATGTTTTCTTAGAGATGGCAAAACCCCATCTCTAATAAAAATAGAAAAACTAGCTGGGCATGGCGGCGGGTGCTTGTAATCCCAGCTACTCGGGAGGCTGAGGCAGGAGAATCGCTTGACCTGGGAGGTGGAGGTAGCAGTGAGCTGAGATCACACCACTGCACTCTGGCCTGGGAGACACAGCAAGACTCTGTCTCAAAAACAAAAACAAAAATTAGCCAGGTGTGGTAGCACATGCCTGTAATCCCAGCTACTCAGGAGGCTGAGGCAAGAGAATCACTTGAACTGGGGAGGTGGAGGTTGCAGCAAGCCGAGATCACGCCATTGCACTTCAGCCTGGGTGACAGAGTGAGACTTCATCTCAAACAAAACAAAAAAACAAAAACAAAAAACCAACAGTTAAACACAGGGAGGTGGGCCAGGCGCAGTGGCTCACGCCTATAATCCCAGGACTTTGGGACGCCAAGGTGTGTATATCACAAGGTCAAGAGATTGAGACCATTCTGGCCAACATGGTGAAACTCCATCTCTATTAAAACCAAAATTAACCGGGCGTGGTGGCGCACGCCTATAGTCCCAGCTACTCAAGAGGCTGAGGCAGGAGAATCACTTGAACCCAGGAGGTGGAGGCTGTAGTGAGCCAAGTTGGTGCCACTGCACGCCAGTCTGGTGACAGAGCGAGAATCTGTCTCAAAAAAAAAAACAAAAACAAAAACACAGGGAGGTGGATCAACGAGAGATACATGAACAGAGAGAGGTGGGGAAGGAAAGTAACCCAAGAAAATAGCAAGGGAAAATGACAGGGTGTGGCTCTGTCGCCCAAGCTGGAGTGCAGTGGTATGAACATGGCTCACTGCAGCCTTGACATACTGGGCTCAAGCGATCCTCCTGCCTCAGCCTCCTGAGTAGCTGCACTCACATGCGCATGCCGCCATGCATGGCTGATTTTTAAAATTTTGTAGAGATGGAGTTTCGCCTGCTGGTCTTGAACTCCTGCGCTCAAGTGACCTACCTACCTCGGCCTCACAAATTGTTGGGACTGCAGAAGTGCAACCGCACCCAGCTTATTATATTTTTTTAAACCTTTTTTTTTTTACTCTGTCCAGACAAAACTGTTTCATTAGTAGGCTGAAGAGAGAATGTGGTGTACAATAAAGAATAATTCTCTACCAGACACCGTTGCTCATGCCTATAATCCCAGCACTTTGTGAGGCCAAGGCGGGCGGACCGCCTGAGGTCAGGAATTCGAGACCAGTCTGGCCAATATGGCAAAACCCCGCCTCCACTAAAAATACAAAAAAAAATTAGCCGGGTGTGGTGGCGCGTGCCTGTAGTCCCAGCTACTCGGGAGGCTGAGGCAGGAGAATCGTTTGAACCCGGAAGGCAGAAGTTGCAGTGAACCGAGATCGTGCCACTGCACTCCAGCTTGGGCGACAGAGCGAGATTCCATTTCAAAAAAAAAAAAAAAAAACGACCCTCCAGGATCTCGGTCTGTTGCCTAGGCTGGCGTGCAGCAGCACATCTCAGCTCATGGCAACCTCCGCCTACAAGCGATTCTCCTACCTCAGCCTTCTGAGTAGCTGCGACTACAGGTGCGCTGCCACACCCAGCTAATTTTTTTTTTTTTTTTTTTTTTTTAATTTTAGTGAAGACAGGGTTTCACCATGTTGCCCAGGCAGGTCTCGAACTCCTGAGCCCAGGTGATCCGACTGCCTCGGTCTCCCAAAGTGCTGGGTAAATTACAGGCGTGAGTCACCGCGCTTGGCCACAATAATTGTTATTAAAGGTACTACTCTGTGAAATCTAAAGATGGGAAGATGTGATGAAGGTGAGTTGGAGCAATAGACTCTTAACCCACACACTGTGTGTCTAGGATTTGGGAAGTAAAGGTAAGGCCCTGGACTCAACCAAACTCAGACTTTGGTCAACTCGGCAGCTGTCTGGGCGGACAGGCCTTCAATATCTCTGTTGGTTAGGTGGAGATGTGGTTGATGACGCGGAAAGAACTCGTGGACCACTTGCCCTGACGCTTCAGGGTACCACCTGACACTCGCAGGCACATAGTCCTCTCTTTCTGGCTCACTCCGGAAAGAATGGCCGAAACCCCGTGCCAGACTTTTACACAGGAAATAATGTCGAAAAAACAGACTCTCCATTTCCCTAACCCAGGACCTGCTGTTCAGAATTTTTACTCACCTGCACAGAAAATAATCTGGCGTTTCCCCGTGAGCTAGGCGTAAGAAAAAAAATCAACTAAGTAGACTAATAGCTAAGGAAGATTTCTGGGGTAAACTGCTGTCTTCAAGTACCCCAGATGCACACACTTTCACATAGTTAACAGACTGTTACCACCACCGAGTCACTAAGGTGCAAGAATCTATGCTAGGCAACTTGAGAATTCTCAAGATTGTGAGCAAAACATTTCTCGTCTCCGTTTGATAACGTAGACTCCGGCGGGTCCACACCAGCCCTGCCCCAGGCTCACCTCGGAAGAGGCGACCCCAACCTTCTCGGACTCGTACATGAGGGCCAGGGACCTGCTGGTGCTGGCGGCCGTGGCCTCAGCCCTGCGGAGCACCTCCTGCCGCAAGTACTGCTGCCTGTCCGCTGGCTCGTCGGGCTCGTCGGGGAGGTCCCGGGCGTTCCTCCAAGGGGCCGGCCGGGCGCCTTCGTCCTCCCCGTCGTCGTCGAAGGGATTGTAGCTTTTAGGGTAAGCTGACATGGTGCCGGAGTGGCACTCGGTCTGAGAA